CTACCACTACTACCACTACTACTACTACTACGACGACGACGACGACGACTACTACTACTCCTAGTACTACTACTTCTGCTGCTGCTGCTGCTGCTGCTGCTGCTGCTGCTGCTGCTACTGCTACTACTACTTCGGCTGCTCCTGCTGCTGCTACTTCTGCCGCTGCTGCTGCTGCTGCTACTACTGAGACGTAAGCAGGAAGACATGTGGTTGGGCAGGTAGATGGTAATTTTCATCATCAGGACTGGTGAAAAGATGCGGGTCCTAGGAATTTAACTGAACCGAAATTTTTCAGTTCCTCGACCCATCCATCAAGCCATAATGTTAGGTGGTCCCCAACCTTTAGTAAAAGGTGCGGCAACTTGGCTGCCTGATGCTCTTCCTTTACTGTAGCGTCAACTAACTTATCTTGCATTTGTCTGAAGCATGAGATCTTACAGAAAACTTCGAACGTGCGTGAGGCCTCGGCTTCGATGGACACGGACGTGCCCGGAGCTTAGGGCTTTGGCTTTGGGCTCCACGGGCATCCGTGCTCGGCCGCCCTTCTGGGTGGAGGTGGCAGCAGAATGCGCACAAAGCACCCTTGCAAGCATCCCGGGCAACCCTAAACCCTAAACCCTAAACTTCCCTAAGGTCTAACGGCTTGCGCCGGCTGCAGGACTACACGCGAAAGGCAGCTGGCCAGGCGGGCCAGAACCCTGGAACCTCAATCTTTTCGAGGCCTCACATCGCGAACCGCGGACCTTACCGGGAAAGTTCCGTAAGTTTGTGCGACTTTTCACCAAACCGACGTCAGTTTGGAGCAAGTCGAAGGAAGGCGGATTGAGCTGGTCCAACCCACTGCCCTGGTCAGCCGATAGGCACAAGTTTTTCTAATTCTGAGAAACCTGGAGCTCTACTTCCCTCCTGCAAGGGCAGAACTGGCTACAGCCTCCATGCTAGCAAAGCCTACTTGGGAGACTCTCCGTCGGACTCTATGTAGGGATACAGTAAGAGCAACGACTATGAACAACCCAAAGTGCGCGTAAAAAGCCTGACGAAGACCTTCAAAACCCCAAACCCAAAGCCGTTTTGAGAGCAGGTGAAGGGGCTCCTTGACCACAACAACCTCCCCACAGACCTCCAGCTGTGGGGCCCCTAGCGACTGGGGGAGCAAGGACGGTCGTGGGGTTAGGAAGCCAAGCCCTAAACCCTAAACCCTTTTAGTAGCTTATAGAACCCTTAAAGGAACCTTGTAAGGAACCCCCTATGAAACCCCATTCTAATCATTAAGGCCCCTAAGCCCTAAACCCTACACCCTCGACCCTAGACCCTGAACCCTAAACCCTAAACCTCTGAACCCTAAGTCCCAAACCCTAAACCCTGAGCCCCAAACCGCAAAGCCCAAACCCCAAACCCTAAACCACGGAACCCGAAAGCCTTTATCTCGGAGGCACCGCTACATGCGAGAGCTGGTGAAGGTTCGGGCCCTCAGTCGCTTCGAGGCTTTCAGCGGGCCTCTTTTGGGGGGCGGAGGGGGGTCAAGAGTTGATGGGCTACAGTCGGTTCAGGGTTTTTGGGGGTTCGGGGGCTTTTGAGGGTTTTGGGGTCAAGAGTTTAGGGGTTACAGCTTGAACGACACATGACACTTTGAAGAACCTCAACCCTGGCAACAAAGAGAGTCGAAACATGTATAATGTCTTTTTGTACACACATGTGTAAGTGTAAGCATCTAGAAAATACAGTTATATCTTGTATATACTCTTCTCCCCTCCCCATCAAAAAGGGCCTGACGTTTGTCGCCTTGGCCGCTTCGCCTCAGGCCTTGGGAATTCTTATCCGGGGCGCGCCAGAGGGCCTGAGGAGGGAGGCCAGTGGCGGGGCGGCTTGGGATTCAGAGCCGTTTGGGGTTTCGCTGCCCTGGTCTAAGGATTGAGGTCCTGGGCTTGTTTTGGGGGTTTGGGGCCCCGGCATTCTTGGCAGAGCTCTGCCAGGGGATCAGAACTAGTTCGATTGTTTTCGAATCCGGATGACAGCGCATATCAGGCTTTGCTCTGTAGCCGTCGAGTTTGGGATTTAGACCAGGCGTTGTTCTTCCCCGTGTCCGTGGGGAACCACAATGTGGCTGGTTCAGGAGGTTTTTGGGACTGTCGATTTTTCACCAGCACTGCCTCGAGTCGTGGAATCATAGATTAACACAACCCGGTGTGATCCGAGCTCGGGCGATCGCACGGACTGGCCTAAAAGCGTGGGGATGCCGAGTGGCCCAAAAGATCCATGCTTTGAAAAATCGAGGCTGGCTCGCATTGACGGCCCCGTTGCCCGCTGAATCGCAACGAGGTCCTTCTACCTGCTTCACCCTAAAAGCCGGAACCTCAAGCCCCCACTTAAAATCCCTTACCCTTACCGCAACCATTTTTGATTATCAAGGCCGCCAAGAATCCGGAAACCTTCACCCCTTTGAAGGTGGCGAAGCCTTTCGAGGGCGTCTGGGATTTCCAGGAGACGCGGGCGGAGACTCTTTGAGGGCCTCAGCAGGCCCTTCTCAATGTCAATGTTGTTGAGAGGCTTTTATCGAGCATGCAAAAAAAGACGTAACCTTTTGGGGCAGACCTTTCTTGCTGGGTTTGAACAGCATGTTCTGATTTTTTTTCCTATGGAGTTTCGCGTTGATGTTTTGACTTCCCAAGGTTTTTTTCTCAGGATCTTGCAGCGGTTCTGCGGTTCCCACAGGCAGGGCTTGAGTGGAGTCTCTTCCAGGACAACTCGCCCCTGGCGACGCCCCTCAAGGCCCAGGGAGTGGAAGCGGCACTTTGTGTTGAGACCCGGGGTAGCTGGGCCTTTCAGCATTTCCAGCCCCAGGAGTTCCAGAAGATTTAGGGTGTAGGGTTGAAATGTAGGTTTCAGGGTATTGAGGGTTTGTGCAGCAGCACCATCAGCACCACCAGCTGCACCCGACCGTGATGTGGCTTGCATGAACGTCTGCTGAGGTGTCTCGGTGTTCGATTCTTCTTCCGGGCAATATAGGGGCTTAAATAATTACCTATACTATTTTGGGGGTTCCTTATTATAGCTATAGTAGACTCTGCCCCAAAACCCCATTGTAATGATTTAGGCCCCTACCTTCGGTCGTACTTCCAGGCCTTTGCCGTGTTGCCTTACACGGCCTGAAAGCCGCAGGCCCCAGAGCCTTCAAAGCCCGCAGACCCTAAACCCCCAAACCCAATAACACCAAACCCCAAAGCCCTGAACCCAAAACTCTAAACCCGAAGCCCTAAACCCAAAACTCTAAAACCCCTCCTCCGAAGAAAAGCCTTAAGCCCTAAAGCCCTGAAAGCCTTCCTTCGCTCTCCTCGGTTCCCTCCTCCGGTGGAGCAGCTGGTCAAAAAGCCCTGAAACACCAGATCATGAGACTTAGTAAACAAGGTTGTACATGAGGTAACCTGTACTTCTAATGTACTTGTAACCCCAACTAGGGTACTTATTAGAAGTGCCATCAAGTTGAAGCGAAAAGAGACCCTTCTTCCTCTCTAGGAGCGGATTTGGCAGAAGCTTAACTTAAAAAGCTCTTTTCAAGTACTCCCTTGTTGCCAGGTGGAGCACTTGGTCTTCGTCTTGGAGTCCTTGGAATCGCTGCTCTTAGCCGGCAGGGAGGTCATGGGCGCGGGGCCCTCGGAGGAGCTTAGACAAGGGAGGCTCGCTCTCGGAACTTTGAAAGTTCCCTTCTGGTTCCTAAAGAGGTACCTAGTCAGAGATATGTTAAGAGTTCTTATAGAGATACCTATTCAGAAACATGTCTAAGGTTTTGGGGGCTTGCAGGGTATACGGCTCTTCGCCAGTATGCTCTGAAAAGCTTTTCCCAAAAGGGGCGTGTTTCGGCGGGTTTGTACATAGGCAGGTCTGGCTTTTTCTCAAGCCTCGGCATGAACCCTGTTTAGGGCTTAGGGGGTTTAGGGTTTAGGGTTTAGGGCTGAAGCCCAAAATTTGCGTTGCTTGACTTGCCTCGTTGAATCTTCTGCTTCTGGAGCAATATTCCGGATTGATATGGCTGATATTTTGATTTCCGGGATACTCGTATACCCAAGTATACTCATTTCTGAAGAGGGTCTTGGGCCCATGGGCTGGTGACACTTTTCTTTCTGGGTGGCCAGAGCCGAGGAAGTGGCCGTGCGGGAGATCAACTACGATGCCAGGCCAGGCCTTGCCTTTCTTTCGAGAAAACCTCGAAGAATTCTTGGCCCCAACTTGAGGTTGGAGCTTGGGCCTTGGGGGTGGGGTTGGGGGTGGGAGTGTTGCAGCATGTTGTTGAGAGAGACATCACCTTTCAGGCTGTTGTCCTCCATCGAAGTCCTCAATCTTGTGTCGGCCTGCTCTTTCAAGCGATCTGGGGCGGGATCCCGATCCCTCTTCTGCACCCAACACGGGGTTGCCAGTGTGCAGTACCAAGCACATGAGAACCTGTAGGTCAAGCACGCACACACACACACACATACATAGTAGTTGCTTTGTAAAGGAAGCAAGCGTGCATATATATATATATATATATATATTTATAAGAGTACACATACACACACACACACACACCCCTATATATTTGTATAAACAAACATAGATATTTATCCTTACTTGCATGCTTGCCTAGGAAGTCCTGTTGCTTTCCGTGGTTTGTTTCACCACTTAGCTGCTTGTGTTGAGTCTCGTCCGTTTCTGAGCAACAAGGGCCAGGTTTATGTGAATATATAGCATATAATGTACTATATATATATATATATATATATAGAGTATACAATTGTACTATATCGTATGCAGTATGTAGCATAAGATCTTTAAGGACTTTAATGTCTATTATATAGTATAGAGCACATAATACGAAGTATAGGACATAGGATATAGAAGATAGAAGATAGGAGATATGATATATAATATAGGACATATAATGTATATGCTATATGGTACGCACTATTCATGGGCAAAGATATCGTAGATATTATAGTGCATTGGTTGGCCCTGACCTCCCAGGCGGCTCATTGCCAGGACGCCCTTGGCTAAGGCAGAGCTCCTCCGGTGTTTTTTTTTTTTCCGACTTTTTTTGGGTTTAGGGTTTAGGGATGTTTAGGGTTTAAGGTTTACGGTTTAAGGTTCCGGGTTTAGGGTTTAAGGTTTGCGGTTTAGGGTTCCGGGTTTAGGGTTCGCGCTTCAGGGCTTCTTTCCCTAGGGTTCTGAGCATGTCGTGGAGATGCCATAGTGTTGTCAGGCAAGGGTTTTGGCCTGAAGATCGAACAGCTTACCTTGTCAACCAGCAGTGCAAAGGGGCTGTTTTCCGGCCATTTTTGTTCTTGCAGAGATGGTGGTCGAGGACTTCTCGTTTCCAGGCTGAGCCGTCTTTGGACATACTGTTGATGATATAAATCTTGCATTACCTTAATAAGCCTAAAGGGCCCTAAGCTATGGGAAGTATGGTTAATATTCCTTACTATGGGAATATTTTAGATCCATCAGCCGTAAGTCCCAAGAACCGCTAAACCCTAAGCCCTAGTATGGGGGTTATTAATCCTTAAGGGGCTTAAACTATGGGAAGTATGGTTAGTATTCCTTACGATGGGAATAATGCAGGGTTTTATCTCATCAGCCGTATGACGTGCAGACAGGTGAGGGGCCTCTATACTAAACATATTATAGGGGAAACCCCAAACCCGAAACCCTAAACCCTAAACCCTAAACCCCAAACCCTAAACCCTAAACCCTAAACCCTATAATATGTTTAGTAGGTGAGGGACCTCACGCTCAACGCGCAGCTGATCCGCGGAGTCGAGGCTGAGGGGCCCGGCATGAGAAGAGACCCAAAGGTTGCTTTGGCGCTTCGGCTTAGGGGGTCAGTCTCATATGTCTTACCCTTATTTTGGGGGGGATTACCCTTATTTTGTTAGGGGGGTTTACCCTTACTATTGTAGGGGGGCTTAACGCTTATTAGTTTAGCGAGGTTTACCCTTATTAGTTTTTTGAGGGGTTTAGGGTTTTGGAGACCATGGTTTTCGCTAAACTTTAGCCCCAGCTCTAACCCTCCCCGCCTCCCCCGACATGCCGGGAAGCCTAAAATCCCAAGTCCTGCGGTCGAAGCTCGGACTGCAACATCCAGCATTTTGCTTGAGAGGTTCCGGGTTCAGTGAGAGGTTCCGGGTTCGGTGGGGTGCAGGGCTTGAGGAAGCGACTCGGCTTGACTGGATCTCAAGTTTGAAGAAGCCCCGAAACCCTGGAGATTCCTTAGCCGCCCGACCAGGAAACTGCAGAGACTCTGAAGACCTCGGGATGAAGCTCTAAACTGACGAAGCCCTCAGGTGGTCATAGGGGGCTCCTACAGTTTACGTGGCTTGCAACTCCAGAAGCCCTAAAGCCCTAAGCCCCGAAGCCTGACTGTTGAAGAAGCACATGGGGCCTTGTATGGTCTTGAAATTGTGGAAGTCATCATTTCCGCTGTGCGAAAATCGTGCAGACTGAAAGCGTTCTAGGGGTTTGCGAATCCTTCTCAGCCTTTAGGCAGGGCCTAAAGCAGCTTCTGGAGCTCCGGCCAGGTTCATTTCTCCATGCGCCTGGCGGAGGACCGAAGCCACCACATCTTTGCGTCGGGGAGCACAGAGGCTGAAGATCTTCGGAGCTGGGTTTCGGCTTTACAGTGTTTGGCTTCTTTCTGGCTTGTTTGGGGCTTCGTTGTGTCTTTCGGGTGTCGGTGTTTGGAGGTTTTGTTGCTGCGGACAGTAGGTGGGGGTTTAGAAGTTCAGGCCTTTCAGGTCTTTTAGAGTCTCAGGGCTCTGAGGTTTAGTTAAGGGTTGTAGGTTAGGCCTGGAAGCATTTTAGAATCCGCCAACGCACACGAGGCTGCGAAACCCGGAAGCTGCGACCCAAGAGGCTCAAGGTGATAAGCAGAACTTTAGAGCGAATGGAGTCCGCAGGAGCCCAAACAGCAGCTCGTTGACCCCAAGAGAGGGTGTCGCCGATGAGTTTGTTTGCGAAAAACCCGAGGTGAATCATGTAGGGTCCTGAACCGGCATATGCGGGGTGCCGCCGCTCAGGTGGTGGTTCCGGTACGGCGACCGCAATGTCCACGAGACCGTGCCGACCCCTCGGCGGCTTCGAGCAGCCTCTGAGGGCTTCTGTTCGGATTTATGCGACACTCATCCGAAAACTTGAGCCCTAAAACTCTGCACTCGAAACCCCTGAACCCTAAACCCTGAAAAACCCCAACGTTCTGAAACTCTGATCCCCAAGCTCGTCTCATCCCCTCTAATCCGAGGCTGTACTGGGACGAGCACTTCGAGTCCCGAGCCCAGCACGGCTTTCAGAGTTCAGACCGCCGCTTTTTCAGGGTGCAGGTGTGTCCTGAGGTTTTGAGGCTGAGGTTTGGGGTGTGCATTGGATGGGTGTTGTGCATGCCGGCGTAACGATTTGAAAGGGCCCCCAACACGAGCAATGCGAGGCCGCGAAGCCCAAGCCTACTTCAGTAGTAGTTGTCCCAGGTACGGCGACTCAGACGACATGAGCGATGGCGAAGACGACGAGGCGTGGCAACAAAGTGCGAAGAGAGAAAAACGTGGGCCGCAAAGCTCAGATCATCATCCCTAAGCCCTAAACCCTAAACCCTAAACATCATTCCAATTCTTCTCAGAACGCAGGAGAGTTGCGGTGTCGCACTCCCAAAAGGGCATGGGCTCGATCTGAAAGCGACAAAAACAGCCTTTCAAGTTCAAGAAACGCCAGAGAGGAGAGGAGAGGGCCGGAAAGCTGAAAATGTGTCTGCACTCTGGCGAGTCCAAAACCCAACACCCGAAAAGCTGCTAAAATGATTTCCAAACCCCAAGCCCGTTGAATTGACCACTATGAACCCCAAACCCGAAACTCTGCAGCCTGGCACTGAGCCACCAAAGGGGTTTTGGGACGGGAGGCCTTGCGACTTCTGGTTCCAGGGTTCAGGGTTTAGGGTTTAGGGTTTAGGGGTGGAAGCTTCGCTGCCAGGACTCTGCGATGTGACCCTCTGGCCGCCGTGTCTACGCCGATGTTGAGGCCGAAGCCCCCCACCATGAACCAGCAAGCCTGAACTCTGCGTGTCGAGGTATCCGCACAAAATCCTACAGGACTTGAAAGTAGACCCCAACCTCTTTCAGATCACACAGCTCTAAAGCCCCAAAATTCCCCGGGGCCGGGCTGTCTCTCTTTGGGGTTTCTTGGGTCTGGGGAGCAATACACAAGCCACCTCCCAGGTCCCCTCAAATCTCAACAAGCCTGCCAAACCGAAAAGTGTGTGTGTGTGTGTGCCCGCGCAAGCAGTAAATAGGCACAAGTACATAAACACATCATCCAACAAACAAAAAACAAGTACATAGATGAATCGATGAGTACATAAAGAGAGCTAGAGAGATAACTAGATCGATCGTCAGATAGATAGACACGAAGATAGATCGATCGATTGATAGATCTGTGCACACGTACCGAGGTGCTCTCGCGGCATCGTGCTTGCCGAGAAGCTGCTCCAGGCTGGCACCATACTGTGCGTGAACAGGTGCGGGCGTGTGGCG